ATATATATATATATATATAAGCATATATTGTCAAAACATTTATACAAAAATAAAAAAAATAATTAAACTTTAAAAAAAAAAAAAGCGTTTTGAAAAGGATAAAATAATATGGTTGGCAAGTTTAAAATTTTAAGTAAAAGAAATTAAATTAATTAAAAGTAATTACTTAAAAGTAATTAAAAGAAAACTAATTATCAAAGTAACAAAAATGTTTAAACAATGCTAAAATCTGAATTAAACATTTTAACTTGCCTATTTTTTTATTTTTTATAATTAGGTTTATACAGATACTTTGGTTACATAACATAATCTTGTAGCTATCCACATAACATTGCGGCGAAAAATAATGATAATTAATTACATGCAACGGTCATGCTAAATTCATAATAAGTAAACATCCATTTGTTTAATTGTTGATCAAATTACAAAATGTTATCAAGAAAAGACATAATGGCATTTCAAGTTGATAGATATGTTTAAATTTTGATCTTGAAATTAATACAAAAATTTATTCACTGAAGAAAATTATCTTATTATCTTATTCAAGCAATCTCAAGAAGGAATTCAATGTAGACAATAAAATACTTAATTTTATTCAAAGTAAATTTTTTTCGGATTAGTATTTCCTTAAAAGAATTTAAACGTTATGAATTTTTATAGGATGAATATATAAAGTTTTTAGTGACTACTTTATCAATGAATAAAGGATTAAAATAATTTTTTGGTTGAATGTGATCCCTAAATAGAAACAATCGCCTTATTTGTCTTCTAATAGCTTCAAAGCTCAACTGAATAAAATACTGAATAAAATCAAAATAATTAAGATTTTTTTCACAAAGCTTTTTTTCTTTGATGCATCAAAAATACCATTATTCACAGTATACAGAAAATAAAAAGCATCTTAAATAAAATGTCAAAAAGCAAATTAAATTTATCTTTGTTTAAACTTACTTTTGCGAGGTACTATTGAACATGAATGGCATATCATGTCATCCCAAGGTTCTGTTAGTTTCACGTGCCATTACTTAAGACGTATGAAAAAGCAACTTGTATATATTTTTTAATTCCACAAAGTTTTAAAATAAAAAAAAAACTAGCTAACTATCATTTTCTTAACAAAGTCCGATATATAAATCACTTCAGATAAATCACTTGAAAACGTATCAACTGTAGCCAGACATGAATCCTATTAATACTATACTTTAAGACTAACATTCTTTTTAAAAAAATTTTCGAATTGTTCATATATTAACCTGCATTTTCGAAATTAATATATTTAACAAGGAGTTCTACATGGTGGGTATTTTTTGTACTTTCCAACAAAGTCCCCCAAGGATATATTAAAATTTAAAGAAACAATTTCCACTAAATTAAAAAAGAGGAAATTCGATTCTATTTCTTACAATTGACATCATAGTACTATATACGAAAACTGCATTTGTAATGCTTCTTTTGTGTCATTATTATGAAGCAACGCTAATGATGAGGGAAAAACTTAAAGACGTTAATAATTTAATAATTTTAATTCTTTACTCGTGCCAAAAAAGAGATATAAAAAAAATAGTTCACCCTAATATTACGTTATTCAAACTAGTAGCTACTTTTGTTATCGAAGGGGTAAGTATAGTTAGTCTATGGAAAAAAATCTCCTCACCACAAAGTCTAAGGCCGTCTGCTATTGTGGAAACAAGAAATAACGTATTTCAAAGAAAAGGAGCTTCGCTCTTCCTACTCTCTTTCTCACATCAATCCGAGTCAAAATCTGTCCTAAACATTGACACAACACCTTTACTTGAAAAAGTTAAACCATAGTCCCTGTCACTGCTCCAGACGAATGGCGAGGGGAGTTCTTTTCATAAACAGACTATAGATAAGGGATGAATAAAGGGGGTTAAGTTAATTGTATTGTGGTTTTAATATAATATAGATATGAGTTGAACTGGTGTATTAAACTGAGTGTAAGGAAGTTTGAATGACTTTCATGAAGGATATTTTTTAAGCTATTGTGGACTAAAAGCCTAATATTTTCTTCTCGTTGCACGTTATTTTATTCATTTATTATCCCTTAGATTATAATAATTTTCTCTGTTTTCAATTAAATCCTTTATTTATTTTTACTTTACTTCTAGATTTAAATTAAGATGATCTTAGGCAATTAGAGAAATTTATCTGCACTAAACATCACAAGGTGTTTATTTCAAGAAAAATGAGCAATAACCATAAAAATTAGTTATTACTCTACTTATCAAGTATAATTGCTTACAGACAAAGGAAAAAGCTATTCATTCATTACATCCTAATATTAATAGTCTTTATACTCTCTAAAATAATCTAGCGATCGAGATTTACACGTGGCTACTCAGCCAAAAATTTGTATTAGATACTTCCAAAAATTAAACTAAAGGTCTGTGCCATCTTGAAGGGACTGCTATGACGGATTTTCTTACTCGGCATGATAATACTTACTTAAAGTATATTTGTCTGAACAATTGCGAATAGTAGTTTTAAATAATTTATCACTGTTGGCCTGTGCCAATAAGAGCGTTGCAGTCGTCTCAATTAGCAATCCACATTTTTCTTTCTGTGTTGCTCTCTCACTTCCATGCCTTCAAGGACTGGCATATGGAAGAAATGCTTTCACTTACTCTTCGGGCATTGTTCTGGTTCCACGCATTCACCGTCTTTGTTCATTACAAACCCTTCTTTGCAAAAACAACCAGGGAAGCAATCAGTGGTGCAGAAAGCTTCTAATGAGTGATGTGTCATGCAAGTTCGCTTGCATATTGGCATGCACTCGTAAAACTCTTGGTTTATATCACAGTTTGGGACGTGTTCTAGGTCGAATGGAATAAAAATGTGTGTATTTCTTACTATTAATAAAATTATAGTATGAGAATATTAAGTCACTAAAAATTTAGTTAACTATTTAAATTTTCTCATGCTAAATATACAAACAACTGTTTTAAAGATTGCATATTAGATAATTTTTTATTACTTTTATACCTTAAAAGGAAAAAAAATCATATTAATTTTAAACTGACATATTTAAATATTTTTTTCAGGAAAACGTTTTGGATTAAAATATTATTTAAACAATTAAACAAAATAAAAAGTTTAACAAAATGATTTCTGAATAAATGTTCTCCCCTTAGATGATTTTATTCGAATTTAATTAATTCTTATAATTTTATAGTTATATAAATATTATTTTCATATTTACAATTAATATAAAATGTTCCAATTACGTTGAAAAAAGGTTAAAAAAATTTATATGACTACGAAAAAAGTTTTATGTTTCAAAAAGAATAAACAAATGTTTATAATATTCACTCTAAATACCAAAAATTGCAATATATTACGAAATGGAGAAAAAAAAAAGATTAATTTTTTTGTTGCATTCTTTTAGATTTTCACTCCATTTACTAATTGGGATTTAAAATTTATGAATTTTTTCATAAATATTATAACTTACGAACAAGCCGGATTTTCCATTTAAACGAAAATAAAATAGTTGATGTATACATTAAATATTTAAAATTTAGAGGAGAGAACACTAACGATAACTTACTACATTAATATTTTCCTCTAAAAGAATTTTAAACTTTAAACCCTAATGTATTTTTGGAATTGAAATACGTACTATTGCAATTTTCTGGTTTAATACAGTTATTTTGATAATCCCTGACGAGACCATCTTTGCAGAAACAGCCGGGTTTGCAGGGTTTTGGGCATTTTAACAGATGCTTGAAATGTACAGTCGAGCATGTCGCTTCGCAAGGGAATCCACAAGACTTAAATTCTTCTCCTTCATGTGAACAACTCTCTATAAATGAAGTAAATTCTAACCAAATATCAAACCAAAATATACTTTAAATAAAAATTGAGAAATGCTTTCTTATAAAATTTAATATCTGTGATTTACTAAATCTTGTTTTACGAAAACAACACAACACTTTCAAGAAATCTGCAGAAGATTAAATTTTGAATTGTTCCTCTAAATTTTTACGTTAAAAAGTTAAAAGCGAGTTTGCTTACGTAAAATTGCGGTGATACAGAAAAAGTGTGAGCTGCCCCGATAAAAATTGCAATATGTTTCTTAATGCACAATACCTCTGTCACTGTATAGTTATACTAAATAATAGCTCTTTTAAAACTAGTCAATAACTGAGATATGCATATCTTCCCAGTTTCACTGTAGGGTTTGTAAACTCGAAGGATAAGTAGCTTACCTTCATATTTTATTTCAAATTTATTTCTGATTTTAAAATATAGTATTAAAATAACTAATAAATAATCAGGTAGTAGAATCTGCACTAAATTATTTTATGTTTCAACAAAGCATTTAAAGGTAGTAATTCATTATTTATTCTAAAAACGTAAAAAATTAAAAGTATAAAATTAAAGAAAAAAAATATAAAACATAATCACCAGGTTTTTTGTCACATTTTTCTGGTCTAACGCATTTGCCATCTTTCCTTCTGACGAATCCCTTCTTGCATCCACATCCTTGTTTACAATAAAGAGGACATGCAACATTTTTCTGGTTATAATTTTCGCAAGTATTCTTACACGTAGGTACGCAATCGTAATATTCTTCATTTATTCCACATTTTTGAATCGGTGGAACTGGAAAATAAAATCTTATTTTAAAATACGACCTCTTCTTTAATTGTTATTTGAAACCATTAATAACTTTTGCAGCCGTATAAAGAAATTTACTTTTGAAAAAAAATCATTGCAATTTTAAATACTGTAACAATAACAACATCGTAATAATTTCAGTTTTAACTAAAAAAAGATGGTTTTATAACGACAGAAAAGTATTTAAATCTACCATTTATTGACATTGCCAGAAATAATATTACAGTTGTATTTATAAACATTATGATAAAAGTGTTGGCCAAATTAGTGTATCAAATTTAAAAAAAATAGCCAATTTGTATTTAATTGTTAAAAATAAATTGTAGATAATTTGAAACATTTGAGAAAAAGAAACTTTCAATAATCAACTAACCTAAAATTTAGAATGTTAATAGTATACTCGTATTATATTGATACATTAACATCGCAACCTATTCTTTAATATGCATAATGTTTAAAATGCATAGCATCTTAAAACTACCTATACGAGATTCGGCATAATTATCGTTATTTTTATTAATATTCATCCACTCTATAAATACCATAATCTACTCTTCTGCTTAGTTATCGGTTTTTATTAATAATCATTAACTCGATAAATACCATCATCTACTGTTCAGCTAAAATATTGTTGTTTTTATTAATATCTATTCACTCTATAAATTCAATGATCAGATTAATTACCTTGATTAGATTAATTGACTATTCGGATTAATTACCGTTGTTTTTATAAATATTCATCCCCTCTATTAATACCAATATCTGCTCTTCAGTTTAATTATTGTTGTTTTTATTAATATTCATCAACTCTATAACAATATTTCATCATTTTATGATTTACGAGGAGCATCCAGAAAGTAAGTTTCCCGAATTTTTTTAAAAAAAAGAACTCACACTTTCATGATCATATTTATTGGCAACAAGTAATGTTTAAGCTTTTTTTCAACATAGCCACCACCAGAATTGAGACACTTGTCGTTTCGTGGCATCAACTTTTGTATCCCTCTGTCATAGAACACTGCTGCCTGTGAATGGAACCAGCGTGGGACAGACGGCTACCGTTACCCGTTACTGTGAAACACTCCGGAAATTGTGACTTGCCATTCAGAACAAGATTCGTGGAATGTGTACTGCAGGTGTTGCGCTCCTCCATGACAATGCTTCCTCACATACGGCATGACGCACAGCAGCTGTTTTGACGGAATTTGGCTGGGAGTTGTTTGATCATCCACCCTACAGTCCTGATATTGCTCCCAGCGATTTTCACATTCTCTTGCACCTCAAGAAATTCCTATTCTCCGGTGAGCGTTTTGGCAACGATGAAGAACAGAAAACGTCTGTCACATTAACAGACGGCAGAATTTTACGACAGAGGGATACAAAAGTTGATTCCACGATACGGCAAGTTCCTCAATTCTAGTGGTGGCTATGCTGAAAAGTAGCTGAAACATTGCTGTACTTATTGCCAATAAACATGTTCCTGAAAGTGTGAGTTCTTTTCTTTTTTTTTTATAAATTAGGGAAACTTACTTTCTGGATGGGCCTCGTATTTTCAGCAACTCAAGCAAAAATAAAATTTTATAATAACAGTGCACGATAACTGATTCAATTTGGATAGCGTCTAATTATGTTAATAAGTCGCAAAAGCACAGTTATTAAATCCCATAATGTTATTTAGTCACATATACCTGGAGTGTTGTCACATTTCTCAGGTGTGACACATTTTCCATCCTTTCGCTTAACAAGTCCAGCTCTGCATGCGCATCCTTTGATGCAAATACGAGGACAGATTGGGTTTTCTGCCTGGTAGTTCTCACAAGTGTTTTTACAAGTTGGTATACATTCATAATGTTCTTCACCTTTTTTACATTCCTGATTTGGAAGAGCTGTGTAAAAAATTAAATGTAAAAGGTAATTAAGCAGTGCAGTGCGTATAATAGTAAAGAAAAGTAAGACACCTTAGGAAAAATATTAAAAAAATTATTTTTCATTCTGTTTTAAAATTTGACCTGATTTGATATACTATTGTTTCAAGTAATATTTATTTCAATCCATTAGTTCATTTAAAGAAAATGTAGCTTTTATAATAATAACAATAACAATAGACTTAACAATCTCTAAATATGTCCCGTATAAAAATGTTAGGGGCACTGGCAATCTCGATCACAGATTTTAAATCTAACATGTGCGAGTTAATATCATGCATTATATTAATGTATACTGTATTGTACAGTCCGCAAAAAAAAAAAGATATCACCCTGAATAACTTTCGTTCTAAAAGTGTCAATCTTAATGGTTCCGAGGGGTGACCTCAAATATGCTAATTAATTAGTGTTAATTATTAATTAAGTTACGAAATCAGACACAAAAACGCACTTTCTCTAAATAAACATATAATTTTTTTTACAATTTTGGAATCCAGACACCTGAATTAGGGGGGGTAGACAAAATTTTGAAAAAATTGGGTCACAATAAAGGTTTATATATTTGGCGATAATTCAGAAAATCGCCAAAAAATGTCGCCAACGCAAATTAATATTTTAAGGTAACCCATTGACTAATTCAAAAGAAGCAGACTTAATTTCACTAGGTTGCTAAGCAACCAATTTCTGACTGTAAAAATTTTTTTAAAATAATGCTCTGTGATTGCTCGGAGAGGTTTAATAGAAATATCTCAAAGTTAATAGAAAATATCTCAAAGTTTCTAGAATATAGACAATTTTTAAGCTAATATCTGTCCAAAAAAGCAAAATTTTTTTTATTTTAATCTCCTTTGAAAAGAAAATTTGAATCGATTTATAAATTATTTATGATTTTCTAAGTTTTTAGAATTTAAATACATGAACTTTTTATCTGATATTATTTAGATTATGTTGTTTTTGTTATAAAAATTCGAGGATTTCATACTAAAATCAAATTAACATAACTTATTATGGCTATATACAAAATTTTAGGGATAATCATTTTTACAGCTTTAATCGAGTGTTCTAGGCAAGAAAGTTTGAAGAAAAAAAAGTGCTTGAAAAATAAAATGTATATTGTATAGTAATTCTAATGCGCATTCACAAGGTTTTCTATAATTTACGATATTT